GGGGGGTGGTGGTTTGGGGGATAGTGGTTTGGGGGGACACGTGGATGTGAGCCACAGTCGTCAAAAAAAAACTCCATTTGGGCAACTCTGGAGAAACATCGTCAGGAGGAGAACAGGAGCAAAGAATGCGGACTACGTTTGGATCTGAAGGAGGAGGACACGAGGATGAGGTGGGGGAGAATGGTGGCGCCTTGGAGAGGGAGGTGGGGGGAAACGTGGAAGGGGTTTGGGTCCATTGAGATGCTGAGTGGCAGAGAGGCGGTGGACGGATGTGGCAGCACTCAACAAGATGGGCCGAACTACCCTTCCCATGCTGGGGGACTGCCATCGCCTCCTGCTGGCAGCATACATAATGGAGACCATCCAGGGCTAAGCTGATATTTATTAACGGTAGATATAATCACAACAGCAGCTTCTAAATGGACCATAATGCATTCCCTGCTCGCGTTACCCATGTCTCCAATGATGGTCGATTCATAGCCACTTGTATAAAGTCACTAATCGTCTGTGTACTGTAAACCCTCGGTGGTCAGATTTTGTGAAGTGATTTGGTGTCACCTCCTTGCTGCTATGACACTTTTTTGTTGCGGAGATGGTGTGGCAATTAAAAAACTGAATGGTTCATTTGTAAACCTTTCGTTCCATTGCTTCCATTTTTCTACTGAATTCCCCGTGGCAACGTGCGAGCGAATGGGAAGGGGTTTGGGTCCATTGGGATGGTGTACAGTGGGAGTGAATGGGAAGGGGTTTGGGTCAATTGGGATTGTGTAGAGTGGGAGTGAATGGGAAGGGGTTTGGGTCCATTGGGATTGTGTAGAGTGGGAGTGAATGGGAAGGGGTTTGGGTACCTTGGGATTGTGTAGAGTGGGAGTGAATGGGAAGGGGTTTGGGTCCATTGGGATTGTGTAGAGTGGGCGTGAATGGGAAGGGGTGTGGGTCCATTGGGATTGTGTAGAGTGGGAGTGAATGGGAAGGGGTGTGGGTCCATTGGGATTGTGTAGAGTGGGAGTGAATGGGAAGGGGTTTGGGTCCATTGGGATTGTGTAGAGTGGGAGTGAATGGGAAGGGGTTTGGGTCCATTGGGATTGTGTACAGTGCGAGCGAATGGGAAGGGGTTTGGGTCCATTGGGATTGTGTAGAGTGGGAGCGAATGGGAAGGGGTTTGAGTCCATTGGGATGGTGTACAGTGGGAGCGAATGGGAAGGGGTTTGGGTCCCTTGGGATTGTGTAGAGTGGGAGTGAATGGGACGGGGTTTGTGTCCATTGGGATTGTGTACAGTGGGAGTGAATGGGAAGGGGTTTGGGTCCATAGGGATTGTGTACAGTGCGAGCGAATGGGAAGGGGTTTGGGTCCATTGGGACTGTGTACAGTGGGAGCGAATGGGAAAGGGTTTGGGTCCCTTGGGATTGTGTAGAGTGGGAGTGAATGGGAAGGAGTTTGGTTCCATTGGGATTGTGTACAGTGGGAGTGAATGGGAAGGGGTTTGGGT